AGTGAACAGACTTGCTTCAGTCTGAACTCGTCAAGGTTGAGGCAGCAGACTGCAAGTTTGAATCCAGCCTGGCAGCTTAGCAATTTAGTGAGACCATGTGTCTAAATGAAAAAAAAAAAAAAAAAAAAAAAAAAAAAAACATGAAAAAGAAAGGAGAGAAAGAGAAACAAAGTGTAGGCATGAGATGGACAGACCTCTGCTCTAGGCTTTACCCCTAGCTGCTCTGGGTCTCCCCATCTCACCACACACAGCCACACTGCAGCCCTGGGCAGAGGCGCTCCTCTGGGAAGCACTGTGGAAGTTGCTGAGGGTCCTGAATGCTGTCTGTAGAGCTAACGTCTTGGCACTGTGCCCTTTCCCCCTGAGGTGTAAGACTACAGCCTGTGACCTCATCAGCCCCAGTGCCCAGGACCACACCACCTACACCTGAGTCACGGTCAAACCAGCTGCAATTACTATCCGTGCCATCCTCAACCAGTGGGCCTTCATACTTGCATCTCCTTCCGGTAGTGACTTTACACCCTGCCTTCCCGATGTTCTATCCACTTCTGCCAACACTTGGCTCCTTGATTTGAACCTCTGACCTCAGGCCCCACGTCGATGCTCACCCTGTGGCCTTTTCTTTCTTTGTTCAGATGAAACTGCACGGACATCCCTTCAACCACTCTTGAACCAAACCATCAAACTCATTGCTCACTGCCCCCATACTCCAAGCCCCAACTGCCTGCCACTTCTCACGTGCCAGTAATGTGTGGGCCACGCTGCAGGATAGGACATGAAAGCACACAGCCACTGTGAGTGCAGAGGCCCTTGGCATTGCCCATGGGAGGACATACGCCTTTCTTGTCTAGGCTGTCCTCCATGTCCTGCAGGTCTGCATTCTCGGGAAGCCCAACCTTCCCAAAGAGCACCCTGCCTCATCTCTGTGAGGTAATCAGGCTCCTGGGGCCGCAGGTTCTCAGCTCTCAGTTATGTAACCATGACCAGGATGAGGTCTACATTTTCATCACTCTAAAGACAAACCTTTACCCATCAGCAGCTTCTTCCTACTCCCCCATCCTCAGGCAACCCAAGCTACTGAATCTTTATACAGCAGCTGACTCTGGACTCTTCCTACAAGTGGACCTTTGCGTGTGTGGGATTTTGTATGGGAACCAAATTCAGGACTTTGTGTGTGCTAGGCAAGTGCTGTGCCACTGAGCTGCGTCCCAACCCCCTCTGTATGTTCCTATGTCTGGTTTCTTTCACTGAATGTTTCGAGGGCTCATGTATGCTGCAGCATATATCAGAACTTTCTTCCTTTCAATGGCCATCCCATTGCATAAATGTACCACTTTGTGTTCTCTACAAATAATGTGACTATGAATATTCATGTACGAATCTTGGCGGGGACCTGTTCTCCTCAACTGCGGTGTACACAGGAGTAGAACTGCTGGGTATTTGGCAAGTCTATGTCTAGCCGTTCAAAGAATATTATAAGAGAAGAAGACTGACAATGTAACCAACTGGGCAAACAGGAGGGCACTCTGCTGAGTGAAATAAGCCAGGACAGAAAGACAGTGCATGGTCTTACAAGTATGTGGGACATGAAAAGCTGAGCTCACCTGAGAGAAGAGTGGTTATCAAAAGCGTGGGTGAAGGCAGCAGGAGGTTATGGGTCAACTGCCTAATTTCAACCAGGCAGGCAGGATAAGTTCTGGAGATCTAAGTGATGGCTGTTATAATTGTAATTACTGGATTGAATACTAAGAGTTTGCTACGAGAGCAGGCTTTTTGTTGGTTTATTTTTGTGCAGGGCTGGGTTACAAACCCAGGTCAAGGCAAGCACTCTTCTGCCAGGTTACATCCTCAGTCTTAGGAGGCCCTAAGTACCTCACCACATTCAAGGTACCATATAAGGTGACAGATCTGCTAATTAGCTTGATTGTGGGGATCATTTCACAATACACATGTAACAAAACATCATGTGGACACTACAACTGTAGAAAGCTGGAGTGGATAAACAAAAAACCCAGCAGAACATGAAATCTCAAACTAAGGCGTTCACTTGCTTGAAGGCCCTGCGCATGCTCCCTTCAGACTTGGTTCTCCTCAGGACCTGCTCCTGGCCCCTCCCTAGTGAGCGCTCAACACAGCTGGTCTCTGGCACCTCTGGTACCAGCAACGCCCAAGCCCCATGCTGCTGCCTCTCCATCATCTCATGGTGTAGCTCTCAGTTCCAGAGCTCAGGGTGCAGCTCAGTGATGGTGCCTGCCTAGAATGTAGGGGGCCCTGGGTTCCACTGGTGGCTCTGAAAAAGACTCACTCAGCCTGGGGTAGGCTTCCTGGGCCTGGTCTCTGTCTTCTTTTACATTTTTAAAAACTTATTTATTTATTTATTTATTTGGTACAGGGTCTCGTTACACAGCTTGGACTCATAAGGATACTCTTAGCTCAGCCTTCCCAGTGCTGGGATTACAAGCGTGTGCCACAATGCCCCAACAGCTTATCACAAACTTCATACTATTACAGCGGCTAGTATGATGGCTAAGAGTAGCTGGCATTCATAAAATGTTTTGGAAAAAGATGTGCAAATGAGTTGCTAAATATAGCATTTATAATAAAGGCACAGAAATAACAGTTTATAACATCACCTCACAGGTACTTTCCTGAGTGCTCAGGCTACATTAAAAAAAAAAAAAAAAAAAAAAAGGAAAGCAGTGACTAAAATGCAAAGAAAAATTCATGATGTTGATTGGCACTTTAAAAATACAGCCACAAAATAAAAATAAAATTATAGTCACAGCTGGGCATGGTGGTGAATGCTTGTAATTCCAGGGAGACTGGGGCAGGAAGATCACTGTAAATTGTAAGGCCCGCCTGAGATACATAGTAAGACCCTGTTTCAAAACAAGAAAATATATATAGATAAAGATAAATTTAAATTTCCTAACAGAAGCAAAGATAGGACCTTGCTTTTAATAATAAAGCAATAATAAAGACTTTCTGGATTATGCTGGTACTGCATTTCTTGGCCCTGGAGAGGAAGCAGTATAATGAAGTGTTCCCCATGGCTGGCTAAAACCCCAAGGCCCACGTGGCACCTCACAGCGTGGGCTGCCTGGACTTCCCTGCACTGCTCTTGGGCGACCTGCCTTGGTGGCACAGACAGCCTGTTTTTGCCCTTGGCAGGGTCCTCAAACACTTCTAAGTGTATGCCTTGGCAGCAAGAGGTGATGTGAGCAGTGTCACACACCAGCATCAGGCGACTTACCAGCTACGAACTCTGTTCCTGCGAGTTCTGCAGTTGCGAGAAAGTCTTCGAGGGAGCTCTGTTCAGTCACTGACTGAAGATTGAGACGGCCCCAGTCGTAACCGTCATTGAGTTCACTTGTGTGCAACTATGAACAAAAAGTACAAAAAGAATGCTGCTGCCTTCTGCTCCTGGTGCCCGAGAGAGGCTCTGCCCTCCTTTGCAAACTATTCCATAGTCTGGAGGGTGGTGTGGCCTCTTCAGAATTTCATACGAACAGGATTTAAATGAGCACTTTCATACTTTGGGAGTGACTCCTCCCTTTCACCATTTAGTTTCCAAAACTGTTTGAAGTTCACTTCTTGTATCTCCATCTACTAATTAGGAAACTGAGACTTAAATAGGCAGCACAGTAACTTGCCCAGAGTTGCAAACAAAGTGACACAGAACTTGAACCAGCTTGACTTTCCCAGAAAGTTAAATCAAAATTCTTTTGACAGAGCTCCTCAGTAAGAAATACATTTTCTATAAATGACCCCGGAGTGCGTAACACACACAGGGATCCAACTGGGTTGGTACTGGTCATTATAGAAACATGGAAACAAAAGAACCTTGAAACAAGTTACCTTAGCACATATAACACCCTATATCTTCTATCTTATTGAAGTAAAAAAAAAAAAAAAAATTGCAAACTCACTAAACATTCAAAACACAACTTAGAGTTTGACAAACACCATTCTAAATTACATACTTACTACAGGTACAATTTTTTTAAATTTGAGGATCAAAAAATTAAGTGATGACGGGTCCTCGTGATGCATGCCTGTAATCCCAGTACTTGGGAGGCTGAAGCAGGAGGATCTCTGTGAGTTCAAGACCAGCGTGGGGTACAAAGTCAGCTCAAGGCCAACCTGAACTGTATAGCGAGACCCTATCCCAAAAAGACAAAAAACAAACAAACGAACAAAAAACCCCTAAAACTTAGATGGTTTGTTGAGTCACAGATTCAGCAAAAGTTAACAGTAAGAATTAGAATCTTTAGAATTCACATCAGTTTTGAAAGGTTATGTTAATAACAAGTAGCTTCCGGGCTGGGGAGATGGCTCAGTGGAGTAAGTGCTTGCCTGGCAAGCGTGAGGGCCTGCATTTAATCCCCGGTTCCACAAACAAAACAAAACAAAACAAAACAAAAAAACACCAAGTTGCTTCAAAACCAATTAGTATTAACAGGGAGCAGCCAGGGATACAGCTCAGTGGAGCAGTGGCTGCCTGGCAAGCACAAAGTCCTGAGTTCAATTTCCAGTCCATCACCACCACCACTAAAAAAAAAAAAAAAAAAAGAAAATTAACAGGGAGCTAACGTCCAGAGTAGCGCCTCTTTGATGGGTACTGCTAAGCACTGTAGGCTGCTCATGCAGCAGACACCGGGCTGGTGACTGTGGCCCGAGAATTGTCATGTGAGCCCATCTTAAATTCAGAATGTTCTCAAATATTCGGGGGAATAAACGGTGAAAATGAAGGCTGTAATAGCAAACACAAGTCAAGTCATTCACTTTCTAAAAGTCCCACTCTGATCCTCTCGAGGCTTTATAAAGTCTCGCCATATCTGGGAAACAAATGATTTGCTTTAAACTACTAAAAGGAAAAAAAAAAAAAAACCGGAAGCAGGAATCTGAGTTATTTTGTATTTCTAGTGGCGATCAACAGCTTCTGGAGCATCAGCTGTTCGAAATAAATCAATATTTTTCTTTTTTTCTTGAGACCGGATCTGGCTATGTAGTCCAGGCCGGCCTTGAACTCTTGATCCTGCCTGTTTCTGGTGTGCTCGGATCACAGGCGCGAGCCATCATGCCCAGTTTAAATCAATATATTTTATTTAATTTTTAAAAAGAACACAAAATAGCAAAAAAAAAGTACAGAATTTCATTAAACAAAGTAATAAGAATTCGACAAAATACATATTAAAAGTTTTGTTTCTTTCTTGCTATTTCTAAGAGCTCTTAAGACTTCTAGGGCCAAAGACAAACGCATCCAGGTATCTCGGCATCTGCGACTCTCCACGCTTCCATCCCGCCTCACGTCATACCAGTGTCGCCAGGACCCGCGCCCGGCCAGGCGGAAACTCCTACACGCTCCGCGAAACGCGTCACTCGTGCAAGTTTTCCCTGTCGCTTTTGACCTCACATTTTGTAGCACTGTTAAAACAAGGAGGAAATAAGAAAGAGAGCACGGTCTGCCTCACCCAGGAGTCCGCGTGCCGGTGGCTGCGGCTCCGCTGAGTCTGGTGGCGGATGAGGGCCCGACCCAGCGACCCACTGGCCTGCACCTTCCTCCGGCCCATAGCAACACTGGCGTGGTACAACCCCTCGCTCCCCAAAACGTGCGGCTTCCGGTGTTCACGGATCCATTCCCGGAAGTGACGTAACAAGCCCAACTAGCTTAGACCCGAGTTTGGCAAGAGAAAAAGGGGAAGACGTGCTCCAGAGTGCTCTCTGTATATCTTGAGTTTGCAAATACAATATGAAAAATGTAAAAATGATTCAGAGAACTTTATGATCGACACCTCTACGAACGACTTAATTTGGATAGAATGATTAAGAGAATGGTACGTCCCAGATTTGTTCTTCAGTCTCTAGTGTCTGTCAGGAAACTAGGACAGCTAGACTATATGGCCTCTCACGTTTATGGTTTTAGCCCCACCTTCTCACTTTTTCGTCCAATGCTGGTGTCTCTCTGGCGGGAGTGGGCGGGACTTCCTGGAGCCCCGCCTCCGGCCCGCCTGGTGTCTCAGGCCAGTATATTAGCGGCTTAGCGATCCGGAGCAGCAACTCAATCTAATTTTGTTTACCAATTCTCCAGCGGCACACCGGGGAGAAAAGTGTCCCCTTAATGGGACTTCCAAATGGGGAATTGAATTATTATTTCGAGGGTTGTAAAAAAAAGCCAACGGTGTCTGACTTTTTTTTTTTGTCTTTTTAATTTTATTTATGTGTGTGTGTGTGTGTGTGTATGTGTGTGTGTGTGTGGCCAGCTCAGCCCACCAGGGGGTGGGGCTGGCTGGCATGTGGTTCATGGGGGATTGAACCATGGACTCTGTGCTTTGCTAAACTTGTTCTAAGTAGGTGCTTTAGACCACTGAGCCATCTCACCAGCCCCGGTGTCTGACTTCTGACTTATTTCAAATGGAAACAGTTCGTAAATTCCAGCTAATATTGCAGCATCTCCTATAATTAAAAGAAAGGGAGCAGCCTGTCATGGTGACCCATGCCTGTAATGCCAGCCCTCGTGAAGCTGAGGTAGGAGGATTGCAGTGAGTTCGAGGCCAGCCTGGGTTATCTAACGAGTTCAAGACTAGCCTGGATTACACAGCGAGACCCTGTCTCAAAAAACTGGGCGGTGTGGGGGAGGACAAGAAAGTCGCAAGCTGACTCCACTCTTAGAGGACTGGGCTTTTGTTCTCACCTTATCAGTAGCGTTCCCTATAATATAAAGTCAGATTAGGGTCACGTGTGGGCTGGTAAACCGCATCCTCAATCCAGAGAATCACCTCTCTGTTGTGATCTCAGAGAGAGAAGAATTTGCCTAAATCATAGATCCAAGTTTATGCAGAATCAGAATTCAGCCTGCCCTGTTACTAACCTGACAACCCTGAGGTGCTGGGAAAGAGGATTGTTAGATGAATTTTAGAAGTTAAGGTATTGTATGGGTTAACTGACTTGATTTAGCTCTTGCACACATATGACATTGAAACATAACATGTTGTTCATGATGAATATGTGTAATTTTTACTTGTCCATTAAAAATAATTAAAGGATCAAGAAATCACCTAATGTATGAACCATCTAATATAGTCTGTCTAAAAATGTGTATGTAAAGTCTCTGGAATCTCCACAGGAAGCCTGTAATGCAGAAGGTCTGAGGTGCAACGTGGGTCTTGTTTGTTGGTTGGTTTTGAGACAGGGTTTTGCTATGTAATTATGGCTGGGCTTTAACTCTGCGTATAGCCCAGGCTAGGTCTGAACTTGTAACGAGGATGTCCTGCTTCAGCCTTCCATGGGCTGAGATTACAGGCATGTATGGGGCTTGGTTACTGGTACACTCTGAGGAACACAGTTGCAGGAAGAGCCCACTCCGACACAGAAGTGACTGTCTGGGGCCAGTCATGGCAGGAGTTGGACCACACCGTGCACTCATCTTTGGATTCCCTACGGGGCCTCTGTGCACTGCATCTCATTGGGCTCTTGTCTAACTGAGATGAACTCTGGGCAGCTCCCCAGGAATTGCCAAGACGCCCTGCCATAGCTGTCAAGGATTCTGGACGGCAGTGCCCACAGGCCAGCAAAGGAATGTACCGGAGCACGCATGATCTATTTCCCAATGCACAGCAGCATGTCTGAAACCTCTGCACAAGCCAGGGATGGTGGCACACGCCTGTCATCCCAGTCCTCAGGAGGCTGAGGCAGGAGGATCACTGAGAGCTGCAGGCCATCCTGGGCTACAAAGTGAGTTCAAGACCAGACTGAATTATGTAGGAGACCCTGCCTGAAAGAACCCCAAACCTACAACTAAGCAATCAAGGAATATAATTTCCAGAATGATATTGCAAAGACACATGGACTAGGGCTGGCTAGTAATAGCTTCTAGCATTCTCTCCAGAGCTGTGTAGAGAGAGATCATGCTGACCTGAGGTAAGATTCTGCGGGTTTAGAGTGTAATGCCAGTAGATGAGCTAGCGAACCCTGCCTTCTCCCTTACAGAGCTCAACCAGTAACTTGAAGCTTCACCCTCGTTTCTATTCCCAGATTTCAACACTTCCAGGGGTGTGTGAGGTGGCAAACATTTTGAATTTCTGCTGTTATTTTTCTAAGTATTTTTCAAAACATACTTACTGCTCAAGTAAACCAAAGTGATAACATAATTAAGACTCGTGGGGGGATCAGTAGGACATTGACAGTAGCAGTAAGTCTTCCTGGCGGACAAATGCCGATTGCGCTAATATTCCTCCAAGACGTTACTGAAAGAACTGAGTTCCAAGGTTTCTGTAATGTGGTCAGTGGGGCTGAGAACGATTGCAGTAACTCCTATCCTGCAGAACTAGGGCAGGAGACAATACCGAAAGACCATTTCTCAGTAGTCAGTGCGGGTGCTAAGTTCTTTTTTCTTTTTTCTTTTTCTTTCTTTCTTTCTTTTTTTTTTTTCTTTTTTTGAGACAGGATTTCTATTCTTCAGGCTGGCCTTAAATTTGTGGAGATACTCCTGCCTCAGCTTCTGGAGTTCTGGGATTGTAGGCACCACTGCGCCTGGTTTATACCTGTATTCTTACTATATTCTTAATTTTTTTATTTTTACTTATTTACTTATTGGAGGCCTCTGTGCACTGTATCTCATTGGGCTCTTGCCTAACTGAGATGAACTCTGGGAAGCTCCCCAGGAATTGGGAAGTGTGAACTATGCAATTCAGACTCTGCAGCATTGGAATTACGGGCATGTGCCACCACGTCCAGTTTTGGGGCTGGCACGGTGTGCTCAGGGTTCCTGGGCCTGCACAGCATGTGGTTCCGGGGATTGAATTAGGGTCTTTGTGTTTGCCAAGCAGGTGCTTAGACCTCTGAGCTATCTTCCCAGCCCTGTTTATAGTTTTGACCCATGTGAAAATAATTTTGCTTTATGAAATTTTCTCAGAAGTGGGCTGTTGGCAATCCTTTCTGAACCCTTCCTGCCTCTCTGGAGCTATTTCTATTCCTCATTCCTATCCCTCAATAAATTTTCCTACTTGGCATTCATTCTTCAATTTCTGGAAGCACGAAATGGATGTGTGAGCCATCCAGCAGGGTGGGAGTTACCTGCTACACCTCTATCACTGTCAGGGAGCCAGGACTCTGGATATTTGGCCCCTGGAGGAGGGACATTGATTGGGGGATTGGACAGCTCACGTGTATTCAGCTCCCTGTAGCAGCCTAGAGAGTGTGCCTCATTCGTGGTGTTGCGCGATGGTTGCTTTACCTCTGAACAGTTTTAAGCCCTGAGACCACACCCGGGGGCAAACCCTGGAGCTTTCTGCAGTCACACTCTGTGAGGCAGAGCCGTGCAAAGAGATGCAGCCATTGGTGGCTTTCTGTTCTGGTTTCCTTTTACTCCTTGACCAATAACATGTGAAAATGCAGAGAAATGATTCCAAGGCAAACTGTCCCCCTCCTCTCTCGTTCTTTACAGCTCCCCCTTCTGCAGGGACATTAAGGCACTTTGCTTGAGACTGACAGGTGTGCAAATAGAAGTCTGGGCATTTCTGTGGTGTCTTTGAATCAGTGGGAAACACCCTTCAATGGTCTTCTATAAGTTTATCTTTGTTGCCTGGCACGGTGGCTGTTGGCCATAATCCCAACACTCAGGAGGCTGAGGCAGAAGGATCGCTATGAGTTTGAGATCAGCCTGAGTTACACAGTGAGTTCCAGGCCAGGGTAGAATACATAGTGAGACCCTGTCTCAAAAACAAAGCAAAGCAAAGCAAAAGATAGTTGATCTGTGTTGGAAATGGGTGCATTCACCTATGAATGAGTTTCAATAATTCAGCAGACATTTATTGCTGGTTGTTAAAAATGACTGGGTCACTGGGCTGAGGTTATAGCTCAGCAGCATAAGCACCTGTCTAGCAAGCACAAGGTCCTAACTTCAATCCCTGATACCAAAAAACAAACCTAAATGACTGAGTCACTGCAAGTTGACTGTTGTCTGCTTGTGTAAGTCGTGTGTGCAAGGCAAAGTATACAAAGTCCCTTGCTCTGGCGATGCAGGTGCCACGACCCTGTGTTCGTTGTCTTTTTGCCCACAGACTCTTCTTTTTCTTTTTGGTGGAACTGGGAATTGAACTCAGGCCCCCTGCACTTGCCAGGCCCACAGACTCTTCTTAATGCTTGCGTGTGGACTGTCTTGGGTCTCTCATTCACAGATGCCTTTGCAATCAACTGTTTCCTTCACAGCAGCCAAGCAAGGAAAGGTGCTGTCATTTTTCTGCACTTTTAGTTCTAGAACTTGAGAGTCAATCAAGTGAAGCAAAGTAAGACAATATAAAGGAAGCTAGAAGTAGGGTACATAATCACCAATTCTGAAACCTGTAGAGAGAAAGTGCCGGGCTCATCCTATACAGTCATTTATTAACTTCATTCATTCATTCATTCATTCATTCAATCAATCGATCATCCATCCATCCATCCATCCATCCATTTGTCACGAGGCTCTGGTGACTCAGCATTGGCCAGACTCTCTGGTCTGATGAGTTTCCATCTCAGGGGCATCAGCTGGGGTGATGGCTCATCAACAAGGCCCTGCACTACACCCCCGGGCCTGCCCTACTCGCCCACAGGGCCTTCTGCACATACAT